GTTTTCACCCGATGCCCATATGGTAGTGTCATCAGCAAACAAAACCACTTTGACTAAATCAGAAACCTTGCATATATCATTAATGTATAATATAAATGCATATCTCCTCAATTACCCATTTAACAGTTGTCATAGTGATACCATCACTATCACTAGATGTTTTGTCACCACATTTATTCACTATCTCTATAATTTCCTTTTCCTTTTCATTCATCATGTGATTTAGAGTATAAGTCAGACAGATAGCATGTGTCCTCAGTGACATAGTAGTTAGCATTAGGTGGACCAGTTTTAGCATTTCACAAATGGCTGCCTGTTGTCTCTTGCTTTGGTGTATGGTTGTTAATGGTCATTGGAAAAAGCAAAAACGTTCCAGTGTTAAGTGATCCTGTGGACAAAACCGGCTTAGGCATAAGGAAAGTAGGATACTGCGAACAAGCAGATGTGTCACAACCAGCCAAATTAAATCCAAATTTAAGATTAGTGGGCACAATACTATTTTAAAACGTGCCAGTCATAGGCTTGCACTAACCTAGAGCTATACACCAGAATCATGCAGTCTATTTAAAAAACATAGGTATAAAATACTGGGCTTGAAACTCTGCTTTCACTCTTTGTAGGTTCGCTTTCCCTCCCACTTCAGCTCAGACCTGAAGGACCTGTTGAGAAATTTGCTGCAGGTGGACCTAACCAAGCGCTTTGGCAACCTCAGGAATGGAGTCAATGATATCAAGGGCCACAAGTGGTTCGCCACAACCGATTGGATTGCCATCTACCAGAGGAAGGTGAGAGGCCCGCAGTCATACAGTGGTGATGTGTACAAAGTCCACCTTGCTTGTTACGAAGTCGAAAGACGAAAAGAGATGCAGAGAAAGGAAGATGGCGTTCCTTCCTCTACATAAAACTGGTGGATTCACTGTTATTATGGCAGAAATCAGAAATGGACTAGAGGTAGAACTAAGTCCTCCTTTTTACAGTATGAATACAAACAGAACATAATTTTTGGTCCACATAAACCTCATATCTATCTTTTTCCCTTTTCTGTTTTCTCTTTAATGCAACTTAAGGTCTTAAGTTCTTTTGTTTTTCTGGCAGTTGTTAAAATTCATTCGGGGACCTAGGAAATTACCTGCTGAATTAGAAATAGATAAGCTGACTTTGGGGAAAGCAAATTGCAACACATGAGCACATAATTAGTCCTGCCATGTGACCACTGATACGTTAATAAAGTCTTACAAGTACTAGAATTTTAATTTTTATTATTTTTTGATTGTGTAATGCATTATCCCCCCCATTTTAATCAGCTTAAATTACTATACAGTACACATTTAAATGTGTCTCTTTCTCCTGGGACCTCTTCCATTGTCATCCAGTAGTTTATGATACATGGTATGGCGTTGGTACTCTCCATTTGATAACACCGGATTGCTCTGATGAATTGATTGTCTCCTGTGTTTCAGGTGGAAGCTCCCTTTATTCCTAAGTGCAAAGGCCCTGGTGACACAAGCAACTTCGATGACTACGAAGAAGAGGAAATCAGAGTCTCCATCACAGAGAAGTGTGCAAAAGAGTTTGCCGAGTTCTAGAGTCCAACCATTAGTAGCAGCGAGAGAGTCTGGGATTTAGAAAGGAAAGGGGGTCATTTGTAATGACGACAACAATGTAACATCCCCCCAGTGGAAAGGTAGGCAAAGTGAAGAAAGGTCCAACATAACCAGCAGTGTTGCCTTTTCTGATTGTTTCTCAGATGTTACCTATTCATTTTATTTATCCCTCTTCATTTGTGGCCGGGCCTCGAGGAGAGCAGGCACATGTTGTGGTTGCTCAGCTAGATTTGTATCTTCCTGGTGGTGTAATGACACATTTTTATTCTTTGCAGGTTGAGGCATTGATTTTCTGTTAAGGTACTGACTCTGTTAGGCTCCTTTTTTTTTTTTTTTTTTTTTTGCCCTCTCGACAAGCTTTTCAGAGAGTGATTTTTTTGCATCGTGTCACACTGGTTACCCGTCCATCTCTCAATCCTGAATCTATTCAAGCAATACCAAGTCCAACAGATGTGCCTATCATTAATGCCAACTGGTTGGAAAACTGTTGAAAACCTTGGTGCACAGCTTTGACTATGGGGACATTGACCCTTGTGCCCGTTTTGGTTGAAAGCTTGAAAACTCTCTGCACCTGCCTTTGTCTGGTCAATGTGGCATGGTTATTGGGTAGATGACTTGCTAACTGCTTGCAGTTAAAACAGTGGTGACCTCTTTGATCAGAGTGAAAATGATTTATCACAAACTTTATGGAAGTCTTACTCTGTCTGGGGACCTGTAAGAAATGGCAAACAAGAGGTCTGCATTTAAGACTGTCTTTGTCTTAGCTGAATTTATAGAGCATTTAAAAAAAAAAACCCTATTGGTGATCACTTTGTCCTTTTATGTCAGTCTCTGTGCTTGTGTGTTACTTAGTGCTCAAGGGAGGGTTAAAAAGCTGTGATTTAGCAGCAACTAATGTTGTCACACTCCTGACTATTGTTTATTTAATTCATAGTACATGTATGCGTGTGTTTGTATGTATGTATGTATGTGTGTGTGTGTGTGTGTGTGTGTGTATATGTATATTTACATATGCATACATATATATATGATAGAGATATTCATCTTCTACAACATTGTCTCATAGCTGTGAAACTGAAGATTTCATAACGTACATTTAAATTCTGCCAAATTTGCAAACTGAGAACATAGCAAGGTTTTCTGTATGTAACTATAATGGTGATGGATTTTAATACGCAAAAACGTAGCAAAACATTTCAACAAAATGTGCATGTTATTTTTGTACAATATCACTTTTAAAGAAAGATGACAGAGCATTATGCTTTATTTGTGCTGAGGTATCAGATTGTGGATTACATGCTTAACTGTTAAAATGGACACTGCTGCTCTACTTTGAAGATGGAACAAGATGTACAGTAGATAAATATATCAAAGTTTCTCTGGGTGTTGTTCATTATTCAGCTGTAGGGCAACAGTTTGCTGATAATTGTCACTGAACTTGTGCTTCTTTGATTGTTTTTTTTCCCCCCTTCCTCTTGTATATACATCACATTTAACACCTTCAGATAAATTTGCAGTCCAACCAGATGTTTGAGTGTGGAGTTCTTGTTTCTGTTTTTCAGCACTCTAACAAATCAAACTAAGGAAGCTATCCTACAGCTGTCCCCTTTTGCCAACTTTTTTTTTTTTTTTTTTGGTGGATGCAAGACAATCGCAGACCAAATCTTATTGCTGGCACGTTTTTTCTTTTTTATTTTTTGGAAGGACGTTCGCTTTCGCCCACACCCCCTCCACTCTCCATCCTCCATAGGTCCCTAGGTGCTAGACTTCGTCCGTCTCTGAAAGGTTTCTGTGAACTGTATGTACATCAGTCTGTTTGTCCTAATGTCTTGCAACATGACATTTTTGAGAATGAGTAGGCTTGACTAATTGTTTTGGCAGTCTTTTAGTGTAACTGAGATCAAACGCAGAGTATCTTTTTGAATGTCTTGAATTGTCTGATGGAGATGTTTTGATGCAGATTGGAAAAATGTGTATTTTTTATAATACATGTTTCTCTGGTTAACTTGGTTTGTCCCGCATGTGGTAAAGCAGCCCAACAGCAAGATGTTCCCTGGACCTGCAACATGTTTGAGAAACCATTGTTTCCACTGACAGCCTCATAACCATCTGTCCTTTGCTTTGATAGAGCATCACAACGAACACGACAGTGGATCACAAACCAAGTTGTCCAGTTTTTTGCAGACAGTGAAGCACATGCCACATCCTTTCACCCTTTTAGTTTGTGCTAATGCTTTGATTAGAGCACATCTATCTGTGGTCTTTTGTTCTAACAAGTGACTAAATCAGAGTTGGTGGGTAGAAGGCAGTCCCACTCTATCCATTTAAGATGCTTCTATTGTTTTTGTTTCTCATACCGAGCTAATTGTCAGTCGTCTTTAATTTGTCAGCTAAACACTATCAGCTGCTCGTTGAGTTTTTTTTTCCTGTGGTTGCTTTTGATTTTCATCCAGTTTCCACATACTCTTTATTCAAAGATAACACTTTTTACATCTGAGATGTTTTTGCTCTCATATTTTCTAATTGTATTTTCAAAAAACAGATAAAAAGCAAAAACAGAACAGTTATCTTTTCCTCATGACCTGGGTACAGTGATTGTGTAGTCTATTGTACCTTTTGGGAAACACTACTGTATATCCTCGCCTTTGACAGTCTTAACTCTCTTACCCTCTGAAGAACTTGACTGATGCCCTTACAACACAATGACTATGTTAAAAAATATACAAAGTAATATTTTGCAAAATGTATCATTCCAATAAAGATTTACTTGTTAAGACTAATATGTTTATGGTTATATACTTAAGCTTTCACTTCACCTTACACAATGTCACATTTAGCCAAATTTAAATATATATATATATATTTGACATGCAAATCTGAAGATAGTTTGCAACTTGAGGCTGCTTCAGAGTAACATGATGGCAGATCCTGCATTTTCACTGCCCTATCTGTTATTGTGAACATTTTAAGAGGCTGGCAGGTGCAATTGAATAATGCAGCGCTGTGTTCATCTTGTCACAGTACAGGATCAATTACCAGCCAGCATTCAGCACTCCTCTCCAAATGTATTCCCACCCTCAGTGCTCCTCTTTTTAGGACTGCATCCATCTGCATCTGTTATAGGCTATGTGAAGTGCCTAGTCAGAATTTTACATGGTTGGAAAGCAATTGAGACAAAATTAAAAGACCTCAATAATGAATAAATTTATTGGAGAATGAAAAGTTAAGTGATTGATTAATTGATAATCAGAATAATGAGAAGTTGAATAGGCAGTTGGAATTGAATTAAATCAATCCTAGAAAAGTATAAATACATTTAAATATGTACATTGTAAGACAAAACTATATTTAGACTGTACAGTTCAAGTATGTTTACATAAAACTACTTTTAATTTCTTAGCTTTATCATTAATGCAATCATATTGACTCATGTTTATAAACATAAGTGAGGTATTTAAACAATTAGCATCAAAATATGATTTATATAAGACATCTCTATAGCTAATAATCAAAGCAGGTTGCAATTCTTTTAGATTTTGGTGCCTAATTTGTGAGGGTGTGGTGCAGTATATTTAAAGAGAGTATTTAAGTCACTGATTTACCGGTTTGTTTTATTATTATTATCAGAAGCACTTTTAGCGTTCAACTGTCATAATTAGATATTGTGGTAGGGCAGCGCGCGGAGCCCAAAATTCCTTGCTACGCCTCTGAAACAGACCACGTGAACTTCACAGCCTGAGCCTTAGTAGTTGTTGATGTTAACCCTCCTTTTTCACTTTGAGTAAAATTTCACAGTTTGCCCTCCTT